AAATGTAAGTAGAAATAAACAAAGAGTTACTTCTACATAGATGTAAATCAATCTGATTTTAATGTAAGTACACTAACAGTAACTGACATCCTTATTGATGTAGATCTACCGGATATAATTAACATAAGATTATGTTTTCCTTGATCTAAATATAATCTTAAACATTAAATGATATCTTTATTAATGTTACTTTTACTTTACCTGATTTTAATTGGGTTACAAATTAAGATAAACTTTTAGTTTCTCCCTCATATCAAATGAAACTATACAAATTATGATATAAACTTGTAACTTTAGAGATATTATTTAATTTCTTTACCTGATGTTAATTGTGATTTAGATATAATTTACATAAAATGACATCTTTCAGTTTATTTTTATTTCTTTTTTTATCAATTGCAAGAAAATATTTTTTGACAGATAAACGTTGTAGAGACGCTGACTGTCTGGAAAGGAAAGCGATGTCAGTCTGTCGCAGACCCCCACATGAGAACGTTTGATGGATAGTAAGTCTTGTAGTCTGAAATAAAAATAAAAGGAAAACAACCTTTAAATCTCTCGGACTTGTGTGTTTACTATTACAATCTTACATCAGAGGATGGAGATCTTAAAATAATACATAAATTTTAAAGGCAAAATCTATTACTTTTCAATATTGAATGCGGATTTTAAAAAAGAAAACATACCGAGATACTAAATATGTGATTTAGTTGAGAATAGTTCGCAGTGGTATAATAATTTCATCGTTTTGAATACACAGACGAGGCCGAATAAAATTCTTAAAATTTATTTATTGATCCACAGTGCCTATGAATGCCAGCATACGGGTTGTGCCACTGGAATAACCAGCATTCTCTTTGAGAATAAAGAACATAATCAACAGGTATTTTTTCACAATTTAAACTCAACCGTGTAGCATATTGTACGATCCTCGTATATGTATTTAATAATATTAAATCCAGAATTATGTTTAATTATAAGGTACAAGTGAGGCACCACAAATGCTTTAATCCGAATGCTAGATGTATTTGTGCTATAGCTGTTCGCTCTGGGAGAGACGTGTTCATTTTTGATGCCTGTAATGGACGCCAGTATATTAATTTTCCAATCTGTGATGATAAATCATTAAAGGTGGTGAGGGTGACAGACAAATCGTACAAGGTAATAAAAACAAAATTTGAGTGTACATTGTACTGGTTATGAGGTAAAATGTTTAAGTCTTATAGAACATATCTTATCTTCTGTCAAAATATATATATATATATATATATATATATATATATATATATATATACATTCTAAATTAGATATTCTTTCCAACGGGAACATATGTCGCCACGACTCTCAATATGGCCAGAGACTGGTTTATACAGACACAGGTGTATCCGTCTGTTGCTGACGTAGGGAAATCGGGTGGACTATGTGGTCTCTTGGATGGGAATATTAAGAATGATTTGACAAGACGATCTGGAATAGTTGACGATCCAAACAGTTTCAACTACCGTTCTCCTCCGGATGCATTCTCTATATCATGGAGGTATACATTAGCCATATAGATTTCGTACCTTGTCTGGTAAAATATTGATTGAAATATAATGCAAGATAAAATAAGCTGATTACTTCAGCAAATCTTTGTTTATCATATGTATCTATATTTATATATATATTTTGAAAAGATATACACAGAGTATGGTCCTATATGGTTAAGAAAAATAAAATTAATTATAAACAGAAATGTCTGGGATAAAATAAAAATACATTTTTAATTCACTTGCTAGTTTGTCAACATCTATTCAAAGCAATTGGTTAATTTTTCGAAAGTCGACCTCTCTAATATCTGAAGCGGTTAACATAAAATTTTGTTTACATTGGCATATCTGTATTTAACTATTTTACTATGTATATTAATGAAAATTATATAAAAGAGAAGTGTAAATTTTAGAAATCAATGTTGATTTTTTTATTCTAGAAAACTTGTTCACAATGTTATCGGAAAACTCTCAAACATGAAATAAAACCTTTATAATTTGACCGGCACTTCTATTTGTATTTTCTATTTTTTGTATTAGGATTGACTATTTCAAAGTGTCAGCTTGCACATTGTTAATTGGTGAAAAATTGTAATTTAAAATGAAATTTGGACTTAACAGTGAAACAAATAGGTGCCGGAGTAGACTGTTAAGGCGGAATATCTGATATCTATACTTTGTGGATCTGACATATGAATCTCTCTATCAATAATTTACTAGAGCTAGTTCAACAGAGGATCTGTTTGCTCCTTCCATGAATTTCGGGACATTGAAGTCTTTATCGTTGACAAAGGTAAAATTCTGTGCGTGTAACAAGGGTGTAACTGAGTGCAGCTATCAACAATTCACAGACTGTAGCGATATCACGCGGGGAAAGGAGTATGAATGTATTCTTCACAGTAGCATCAGCAGACGCAAGCGTCATGCAATATACATGCAATCTTTCTCTCCGGATCCCATTGAACTTACTCTTTCAACCGTAAGTCTGTTCAATAAAGCAAATCAATATCATTTATTAACACGACTTATCTCCTATTTGTTCAAGTTTTTTGTACTATTGCAGAGAGTTAAACGACAAGCTTATGATATAACTGAGAACGCAACAACTACATGCAGAGCGGCATTCGAAGCGTCCTTTGCATACAAAACCTGTCAAGATAATGTCGCAGATTTTTCGAGTGACTCCGTGAAGGATTGTATCTTGGATGTGTCGGTGAGATCATTTGAATTCTTATTATGATTTTTGTCATTGAATTGGATGGTCACATAATCACTCCCAGGTTTGATTTCAGTCAAACAACACTGAAAGTCGTTGAATCCTATGATTTATCAAGCATACTACAAAATCGATTGCGTATGTACATTAACATTGTGACATTTATATTTCTAAATCATGATAAAAATTCAAATGATCTCACTGACACATCTTATTACTACTTTTTTCTGTGAAATTTCCTTATATGATCTCATCGACACATCTTTTTCCTGCTTTTTGTCTGTGAATTTTCCATATATTTTTTCTAGTTAACAGGAGATCCTTCCTTAGTAATATTCCACATAGAAAGCGCCATCGACCAATGTAAAGCTTTCATCAACCTCAACGAAACGCTTCAACAGGCGAAACCAGAAGTAGCAAGAGAAATAACTAGCATATGTCAGAATAACTGCAGCAATCACGGAACATGCAAAAATGGTTGTTATTACATACAAAATTATTTTTAAAAATATATTGTGGATCAACATCAATAATTGATTCATTTTATCCTACTTTTACATTTTTTGAAAATACAAATAAGTATAGCGTGCAGAACTTCAAATAGTAGTAAAATAATTTAGCATTTTTCTTTTTGATACTTTTTAGTGAACTTTCCTCATATTTTGTCCACTTATTAAAATTTTGTCACCAAACTGCATATATAGTTTAAATGTCATGATCCTTAAATTCTTCAAAAAAGGCTAACAACTATAGATACATTTTTTTCAGTGTGACGGTTTTAAGGCAATGCAACTCTTACTACGATGTTGAATAAATTATATAAATGAGAATAAAATAAAGTGCAATCATTTTTACAGGAAGCTGTTTCTGTGATAACGGGTTCGGCGGTAGCGATTGTTCCTTTGATAAGACGATACCTCCCAACATAACGGAGGTGTTGGTCGGTGAATTGTGCGACAAGTCTACGGAAGTGTGTAACTCAATCACGTTCTTTGGAAAATATTTTGTGGAAAATACCAATTCTACATGCTACATCAAAGTTAATGATGTAAGTAGATTTACATATCAGTGACATGTAACAGAAAAACAGAAATGTTGAAATAGGGTCTGTAAGTCTCGTTAACTTTCACTTTCGTTTTCTAACTTCCGGGTACTTGGCGTTCTTGGAGACAATGATTTACCGCTTGGCATTTAGTTTTAAGCCTCGCGGTGGACTAGCAGAGCCTGTCATGTCGTTTGTTTCCCGATTATTGAAAAGAAGAGGATATAATGGATTGATTGATACAGGTAAACAGCGTTTAACTGCTTTATTGTTTTATTAAACGACGTACATATAAGCCATTCCGAATGGGTCACGATAAGCAGTGTGGTTGGCAAACATTTTAAAGCATAAAGGAAAATTAAAATATTTTTAAAGCTGAAATAATGTGTTTCCAAACAAAAACGTTCCCTAAAGATTGGTTTCTCAAATTTGTTTCATTTATTTAACACACGGGACGGGTACATAGAATAATAAGGTAAACACCAATTTTCAATGTCTATATTATGTATATATTTGCAATAAAAAGGGGGGCTAAAGCCTATGTATTATACTTGTATTACAGTAGAAATAAATAGATTTACTTGTTATGTAACTCTATCCAGAAATAAAAATGTCAAATATTACTTCTTTCATGTTACTCTCTATATATTCAATCTCAATATAACTTGTATAGCCTTATGACTCCCTTCCCGAATACTCTTACAATTATGAGACAGACTTTTTTTTCTTTCTTAAAATAGGAATTAGAAATAGGAATATTTTTAATGAAGGCATTTGTCAGATAGATAAATCTAATGTTGTCTCCAAAAAGGCAATGACTGGGTCCATAGGACATTCATACTTTAACGATAGAACATTTTATTTACATTTGTCATCATATTTTATAGGGATCCAGCAGATACAGAAAAAGGGACAACACTTCGACTGAATGCGTCATCCATATACCGGTATAGATCTGTTCTGTTCATGAGGCATACATACTGAAAATGTATTACATTTGGTGTGTATAATATTTGGTGGAAATTCAATTTTCAACAAGTTATCATTCTATTAGATATCTGAATGTGCTAGTTATTAAATTCATATTCAAGACATTTAGTGATGTACTTGGATAGGCGGACTATGTTTTCCACTAAATAAAATATATGGCCAAATGTAATATGTTTACATTATGTATAGTATTTCTCATAATTCTTATACTCATGAAGAGTGTGACAACTTCCAAGTAGTTAATGATGGAATTTATTTTCCTTTGTATCAAGTAAATTTTGGGCTGCTCTTCTTTCTTTCTTCATTATCAAACCTACTACTTCATTTATTTATCAAATTCAGGAAAGCTCACATACAATGATAAATAAATTAAGTTGAATGAACCATAATACTAGTTAAGTTTGGCACATACTTTCTTATTAAATATCAAATTTGATTGGTAAAAACATTTGTTAACAATTACTTTTCTCCTTCGGTGTGCCTAACATTACATCCCTATGATTCAAAATGCATGTCGATACATGTAAGCACATGTAACTTCTCCATAAAAATAGCTAACTGTGCAGAGTGTTTGCACACTTGTTTCAACGAATGACATTTTCTTAAAAATATTTCAGAGTAACAAGACAAATATTGCATGTTTATTTTGATACACTATACATGAACTTGAGAAAAAAATTAAGGAAGTTGACATTGTATATTTGCTAGTTACTTGTGTGTTATAAATTAATATATTAAGGATGTACACAGGCATAATATATCACTGTTAATATTTGAGAAAGTATTCATTTTTTGTGTAGATGCTCACTTCCACTCTAATACATTTGCCAGGTTCTTGTGAAAAGTGTTTTATTTGGCACCATTCAGCTACAAATACCCAATGTAATCTTTGCCGGTGGAATTGTGACCTCAATCAAGTGAATCAACTGCTGCAAATTGTTTCAAACATTTTACACCTGCAGGTTAGTACTTATAAAATTTTGTTTGAAGGAAAATAAAGGCTAACAAGATCTGAAAATACAAGCCAGATGTAGTACAAAAGTGTTGATACAAGTCATTTAAAAATTTCATTTCTTTGCAGTTAGTGATGAGTGCAACAGAAGTTTTTATCAGGATCTCGTCCGACATCATAGGTACAACTGGTCACTGTGATTTCTTAAATAACAGGACATATTGTGAAGGCGCCTAGGCGGTTACATATGTACACGTGGCTCCAAATGATGCTTGACTGTTTTCCTTCACTTTATACGTAAACCTGGATTGGTCTTTGATGCAATAATACAGAGCCATGTCATGTTTTAAATCCCATCTTCCCACAGTCAGGTGCTGAAATAAAATGATTTTGATTTTAAATATATATTTTTTGTTTTTATGAAATGTAACAAAACATTTTACAGAAATTAAAATATTGTACAAGTGGAAATTTTAGTGAGATCATGATGCAAATTTAGTAATTTGTCCTTAAAATTTGGTATTTTCTATTTAGCGAGAAGTAATTGTAGCGATTTTTAAAAGATTACTAACTTTATAATATTTGTATATAAGTATTTTCATTAACATAATTATTACACCTAAAACACATTTAATTTTCAGTGATATTCAATTTTAGCAATTTCAGAAACCTAGCTGATCATGCCTCGCTAAAAATTACGCTTACACGGAATTTAAACTACCAATTGAATAAATATAAATAAAAATCTTTTGAAGGATTTTCTTGTCAATTCTTTGCTGATAGGGTTACTTACCTTTAATAATGTCATCACAAGTGAGGCACATGGCTGGTCTTCACGCTGGATGAATTCTTGATCAAATCAGTGATGTCCTAAGATTTCCAGATAAGCTGACAAAAACCTGTAATTTAGCAAACTTCTGTAAAATTTCATACGAATTATTGCACAGTTGTTCCAGTATGCATTACTGATAATTTAGGTGTAATGAGTTATAAATCTGGTAAATATCCATTTATTGGATATTTAATACAAATCTTAAACTTCTTCATTACATTTTATCAATATTTTTACAAGAAAAACAGAATGAAATTGTCCTTTTTATACCAAAAAATGTCAAAGGCCTTTTCATAAAAAAAATTGATTTAAAAATATTTGTTTTACACACTGTTTTCATATATATGTCCTAGAACTTATTCTGCTGCATCTGATCATACCTGTATTTGATTTGCATTTTTAAGGAGTCTGATCATTCAAGTCAGTTTAGTCAGTTTAGTGCTTGACTGGATCTTTCAGCAACAGCATATTTCATCTTTGTTACTGCCTGGTTCCCTTGTACTTCTGCTATAAAATAAGTTTTAATGTATATAATTGTATGAGATTGATGAATAAATAAAGAGGAGAAAATGCAGTGGACCAGACTGGGATTTGAACCAAGGCCACATGAAACTCCAATCAGGTGCTCTACCAACTGAGCTATCTGGCCACCGGCAATCGAACCCGGCTGACCGCCACATTCCTCCTTCCTTAAAGGTCTTTAGACCACAACCCCGGCTCATCCCTGGCAGGTCTTTCACCTGTCAGTTCCAGGGCATGGCACAGCACCAAATGTAGTAAGAAAGGAGAAATGCAAGAGAAAACTTGTGGCTGGAACGGGAATCGAACCCGGGACCCCTGTATCAGGTCCAGCACAATACCCCGATAAAGGTATATAGCTTGATAAAGCTATATACATGTAGCTTTATTAAGGTATTTAAAATACCTTGTTCCAGGTATTTTATGGAATGAAAATTCAAAAAATTCTTTAAAAATTAAATACTGAAAGTTGAGTTCTTAGTTTTTGTCAGTGTGTCTACTCGTGCATGAAAAACACTCTGGTATCAAAAAGAAAGCATAAAAAACGTCTCCTCACATGACATTTTTATACTGATTTGTTTATGTTTGAGCACTTAACATGCATGGGTGAATATACTGACAACAACTCAGAACTCGACTCTCAGTAACTAATTTTTTTTAAAGATTTTTTTTTAATTTTCATGACATAAAATACCTTGATCAAGGTATTTTAGATACCTTGATAAAGCTATATAGCTTATTCAAGCAGTATACCTTTATTGGGGTATTGTGCTGGACCTGTGTATTACTAGTCAGCCTCAGGTGTCTAACCACTGAGCTATCCAGGCTGATATCCATGGTCCATAAAGCCCGAAATTCTACACATGTATGTTTATTGTATTGAAGTGATTTGAATTTTGTTAAATGTTGAATGCAGCGAAATACTTCAAATAGCAAAATATAATAATATTACATCTTATCTTTGGGAAATAGATCTTAAATAGGTGATCCTATAGGTGACACACAACAGGTAAATCTTTATTTAAAAAAATATATTTACCGATGCAAAAGTGATGCATGCAGGCTCCACAATATGACGTTTGTACTCATCGGACACTGACAAAACTTCTCCTCTATAATCAGCTGATAATAACATTATCGTCCTCGAATTCGAGAAAAATCTGTTAATAGATTTAGGCGAAGGATGATTATGAATCTATTTCATTCAAGTATAAAGTAAAACACTTCATTTTCTCTCAAAACAAACAAGAAAACAGTTGACATTCTCTGATTGTTTACCTGTACTTCGATCGAATTTTTCCTGGTGGACACTCGCACCCAAGCTTTTATGACACGCAATTCATCCATCGTAAGTCGGAGAACCCTTCTGCTTTGTATAACTACTTAACTTTTCCTCAGAAGCTTTGTATAAACCAGAAACATGCTTAACTAAATACACAGTTCCTCATGGCATGTACCCGGAAGTGAAAATTATCGTAGAATCTCGCGAGTCACGTGGCGAGACTTACAGACCCTATTGAATTATTAGTTAATTTAGAATTCTTGCATATTTACCATTTACATGATATAAGAGTTTCATTGATATTTTTGTTAGGGAAAAAATATAGAAACAGACAGTTTTCCTTTGAAAAACTCTTTTCTTGTTAGTTTTCCGATCTTGGTATAATCGAAAGCAGGATGACGTACAAGAAACCCCTTGAAGTTCACACACTGTATGAGGCAAGCTGCCCAAATCCCAACATCAACACATCATCTTGGATACATCAATTCATTTTCAATGTTTCCAATGATGGTCAGAAATTCACCAGGACTTTGTCGGTTTTCGTTTATGATTCCAAGTGTCAGATTCTACGCAATAACTCTAAGATGGCCACCTTTACATTATCAGCAAGTGACTCTTTCATTACTATATCTTTACCATGTTAAGATTCATACGAATGAGTTGTACAAAATATTTATAGGATAACTACTTCGAAGATCAATACCTGTGTTTTTCTTTTCATAAAACTGTATTTTTTATGAATTTATGATATAAAGTGATTAGTAAACTGAATTTGCGATCAAGTAATCTTCAAAAGAAATGATGGCTGCTAGTTTTAATGTGCTTTCGTCCTATATAATTCAAGTAAGTTACTATGTAGGCAGATAATTTTACCTTACTGTACGTGATTCACATTTTTTGTAATTTTGTTAAAATTTCAAAATTAATATCAATCAAAACAACTTCAATACCAAAACGGCTGTTGTTAGCGAATTTACTTCTTCTAAATCGTAATGCTAGAAATTTATTTTTTTATTCGTGAATTGGTTTAGGTTGGTTATTGTTTTATCGATGGTCAATGTGTAGAGGATGGACAGGTTAAGAAGGAGAACGATGGCATGATCTGTGATGTTAACCAGAAAGTATTTGAATGGTCCTTTGTTAAAGGTTTGTCTTACAATACATTATTTAATTGTAATCTAAGTGTAATAATAAAAAGGATAGAACAACATGAAAAGCACAGCATACTTTTAACACATGACAAAACAGAATCCTAGATAATGCAGAACTGCATTAATTAGCATAGCTGACATTAGATATATAGGTGAGCGATAACATAATCTCAAGTATAAACAATGTGTAAAGACTTTTAACTGCTTACACAGTGGATTACAAGCATTTTACAGGGGGTAAAAGCTTACCGTGACAGCATGACGTCATTAACACACAAAATTAACTCGTACTTATACATGTTAAACATATTAAATAAACATTCGTGTTGCACTCAGTCTTACTGACGTAATTGTACAACATAAATTCTTCAGTCATCAAAGTATTTGAAAATAGACAGAACATCTACTAAATAAAAGACAACAAAATCAGTTATGACAGAAAGTAATTCAAAATCAACCATTCTTTCTTTATCAGCAACAACGGGGAAGGAGAAGATAGAAGACGTTAAAACCAAAGCTGCTCTAACTACATCGAGAGAAACAGCTTCGACATCGTCCAAAAAGACAAAACCAACTTCTAAGCCACCATCTCCAGCTACCAAACCAGCAGTTGGCTCAATTGCGGTGTCTCAAAGTTCTGCAGACGGAGAATTTGAGCTACATAAATCCTTACAGGTTACTAAAACAGAGTAAATTACTATATTATAAACGGGTGTTTGAATCCCGGTGTTCGAAACTATAAGTCTGGGAGCTAGTGCTCAAACATAGTGTCAGACCAGGGGCTTAGTACGTAGACTAGGAGATAACAAGTTAAGGAAAATTTGAATAATATAGAGAATCAGTTTAAATCATTGGGTTGCTAATTATTACTGATTGTGTCTGTTCTTGTATTTAATCCAATCAACTAAATACGTAAGTAACGTAAAGGAAGATTCTTTACATATACATCATCCGTGGTCGAACCAACAAAACACAGTACAATATTATATAATTACTCAAAGTGAATGCACTGAAACAGTCCTAACTGAACGCACTTGGCTGTCATTACCTCACAATGCTTAAATTCACGCTTCTTATATTATGACGTCACGTTCTACGTAACTTCAGTGTAACCGAGCGGCGTGTCGTGCGATATCATTTTCCACGGACGCACTTTTGCGTCGATATCACAAAAGGAGGAATATCACGTGAA